GATGAATGCTACATGTACAACACTTAGATTACAATCGCGGGCCCCACCCCCTCGTGAGAGATTGTCATCCAATATTGTAATAAAATGTTGTACAACGAGAATTATTCAAGTGACAATTAGACAATATAAAAAGGGAAAAAATATAATAATCTATTCTATTGTGTCTCTCTTTATTTTTGCATATAAATTATGCCAAATGCATCTAATAACATTTGTGTGCGTGTGACTATTGAGTTCAGAGAGAATGGAGGAAATCTTTTTCATTCCAGTTAAATTAAAAAAGAAACACACAAATGTATCTATAAAAAGACAATGCAAAAAAGAATCTCTAGCTGTTATGCTCACAAACTAACTGAGACTAATAGAAAATTGAAGAATCTAGATGCTAACTAACTATATTTACACTTTATTACGTCCCCTTAAGATGTAAGGTAAATATTTTTAACACATATCTTGGCTAATAATGGAGCTAAAACTGAAGAAGGAAGCGGCTTAGTAAACATATCACCAAGTTGATGCTAAGAACGAATAGGGAGAAGCTTCACATGCAACTTTGTCATGAATGAAATGATAATCATTTTCTATATGTTTAGTTTTCTCATGCAAGACGGGATTGGAGGCCAATTGAACTGCAGCATGATTATTGCAGAAAAGAAGAGCAGGATATGAAACATGAAATTGAAAATTCCTCAACAATTGTTGAATCCAAAGAACTTCATTAATAGTTGCAGCAAGAGTACGGTACTCTGCTTCAGCTAAAGAACGAGAGACTATGGCTTGCCTTTTTGCTTTCCAAGAAATTAAGGAATTTCCAATAAAGATGCAAAAGCCAGTGGTGGATTTCCTCGTGTTAACACAAGAACCCCAATCAATATCGGAAAAAGCTTGAAGTTTCATAAGAGTCATAGGGGAAGCTGAAAAGAACATTCCAATAAAGTGAATCAAGTATCTGCATCTCTTAATCCTCAGACTGAAGGAAAACAACCTGACTTTGGGAATTTTGTCCAGAATCTCAGTTCAACTCAGTACCAACAATTAATGTCTATGTTCGCAACTTACTTGAATTCAAATGCAAATACTTCTGATCATCATAAGAATACATCTAATTTATATGCTACAGGTATATGTTCTTTCTGCATCTTATATTGTTTTTCAATACTACTTGGATAATGGATTCAGGTGCAACCATGCACATTTGTCCTTATGCAGCTGCTTTCACATCCTTGAAAATCATTGAAAATTCAACTGTGACCTTGCCTAATCACACACAAATTTCGGTTAAACTGCCTGGTGAAGTTCGATTAAGTTCGAATCTGGTGCTTCTTGATATCTTATTTGTACCACAATTCAAATTCAATATATTATCTATTAGTGCTCTCTCATTTGCCTTACAACTCAACATCAATTTCTTTCCTGATCATTTCACTATTCAAGAAATCAACAACACTAGGATGATTGGCAAGGGTGATCAAGTGAAAAATCTTTATCTTCTTGATATAAGATGTTTAAATTCTAATTCAAATATTTGTATAAACAATATTTTATTTCAGATTTGTCACAATAGGCTTGGTCATCCGTCTTTTAGAAGATTGGATAGTTTAATTTGAAATCTTATTTGTTATGTGACAATATGAATTTGAATAAAGTTGGTCCATGTTATATATGTCCTCTTGCCAAACAACGAAGATTATCTTTTAATTGTAATCATGATTTATCGAGTAGTCCTTTTGACATGGTGCATTGTGATGTATGGGGATCCTACCATATTAATCTTTCACAAGACACAAGTATTTCCTAACATTAGTAGATGATTGTTCCAGATTTACTAGGGTATACTTATTGAAACATAAATCTGATGCAACCCTGGTCATTCCAAGATTTTTTAATAAGGTAGAAACTCAATTCAAGACAAAAATAAAGGTGTTTAGATCAGATAATGCACTAAAATTGGCATTCACTGATCTATTTGCTGAGAGAGGTGTCTTACACTAGTTCAGTTGTGCAGAAAGTCCTCAACAAAATTCAGTTGTGGAACATAAACATCAACATCCTTTAAATGTGACAAGGGCACTATACTTTCAATCTCGAATTCCTATCATGTTTTGGACATATTGCATATTGATAGCAACTTGTTTAATCAACAAAACACCTTCTCCTCTGCTGAAAAATAAATCACCATATGAAGTTTTATAAAATAAGGATGTAGATTATTCCTTTCTCCGAGTGTTTGGTTGTCTGGTTTTTGCATCAACTTTGACTGCTCATTGAACAAAGTTTCAGCCTTGTGCTTCAGTTTGTGTATTTTTGGGGTATCCAACTGGAGTGAATGGATACAAGTTGTATGATGTTGAATCAAAACAGATCTTCATATCCAGAGATGCCATTTTCCACGAAGAGATTTTTCCTTTTCATAAGGTTGTAGAAGCAGATCAACTCATTGGTCCATTTCCTAATTTGGTGTTACCTTCAATATCACTGGAGCAAAGTATTCTCATCAGACAGATTCTCATTCACCTAGTCTGCAAACACTTAAGTTAAGGACAATCTCATCTATTGTTGATAATCAGTCCAATAACCTGCAATCTAATTATGCTCTTCGAAGGTCACAAAGGATCATTAAACCTCTTGCATATCTACAGGATTTTCATTGCAATGTGAAAGCACAGAAGTCTCCTTATCATATTGAAAATTTTATCTCGTATGCAACTTTGTCTCCATCTCATAAACAGTTTATGTTAAGTGTTTCAGCTCATTGTGAACCACAATTCTTTCATCGGGCTGTCAAACTTCCTCAGTGGCGTGAAGCTATGAAGCAGGAGTTAGAGGCTATGGAGATTAATAACACATGGTCTATCGTTCCATTGCCACAAGAAAAATGTTCCATTGGTTGCCGGTGGATATACAAGACTAAATACAAGTCAGATGGCACTGTCGAAAGTCACAAAGCACATCTTGTAGCAAAAGGTTATACTCAGTAAGAGGGGATTGATTATTTGGACACCTTTTCTCCCGTGGAAAAATAGTAATTGTTAAAATTTTGTTGGCTCTTACTTCATATCAAAATTGGCACCTAGTACAACTTAATGTCAATAATGCGTTTTTAAATGGAGATTTGTTTGAAGAAGTCTACATGGATTTTCCTCTTGGCTATGATGCAAACAACCTATCTAGCAAGAAGAGAGTAAAAGCTGGTCTACAAATTACATAAGTCCATTTATGGACTCAAGCAAGTTTCAAGATAGTGAAACTCTAAATTTTCTCAGGCTCCCATTCATTTTGGTTTCACACGGTCTAAAGCTGATTATTCTTTATTCACCAAAGGATCTAGAGCTTAATTTGTATAAATTGATGACATAGTTATCACATGTCCAAATATCCAGATTATTGGTTCTTTGAAGGAGTTCTTGCATTCTCAATTCACGTTAAAGGACTTAGGGACTCTGAAGTATTTTCTGGGGCTTGCAATTGCTCTGATACCATATTGAGCTCAGAGAGAATGGAGGGAAAAATTTTCATTCCAGTTAAATTAAAAAATAATTACACAAATGTATCTATAAATAGACAATGCAAAAAAGAATCTCCAGCTATTATGCTAACAAACTAACTGAGACTAACAGAAAATGGAGGAATCTAGATGCTAACTATATTTTACACTTTAATATTAATTAAGATTTTATTGAATTTTATCCTATTATAAATTCTAATGAA